GATCGAGAGGGTAAGACCTCCGAGTCTAGCTGAGTCGTGATACAGTCTTTGACTGTAAGCGACGTCTGTCGAAATGTCTGCATTAGCAGAGAGGAACCCGGACGAAGCTTTGCCGAAGGGCAAGGTTTCGTCCGGGGAGGTAGGCAGGGCCTGAACCCGTCTAGGCGGGTTCAAAGGCTATATTTTTGGCCTAGCCTACGGGCTCGGAGATACCCACATTAAACTCGGCCTTGTGCCATATTCAATCCTCGTAGGTGGATCGATAAATACTAAGACAGATAGACAGAAAAGTTCTTAGCTGATCTAGTTATTGACTAGTCAGGCGATTTCTGTGCCTTTTTATCAACCTATTAAAACCCTTTTTATTGTTACGTGTTATTTGGCGTTTGTCTCTACTAACCCCAAATCAACATCATAACATTCACATTGTGAATTTTTCCGATACTCACACAGTTATGACGATCCTGTTTATTAATTAGGCTTTCTTTGAGCCTTTTAAATGACTTTCCGCCCCCCTTTAAATGAACCTCCTTAATGACCCCTCCTCTTTTATTGCATATTGAGAAATTCCGATCCACCGATTAGGACCTCACCCTTGTATATAATAGTGTGACTAGAATTATGTGGTGCCACTACAATCGTAAAGAGTTACGGTACTCGTGATCGTAACTCAATAAAAAAAAAAAAAAAAAAAAAAAATCTTATTTTTCGGGAGGATAACTTCTAGTGTCATTCTCTTTTATAGGAACATATACGAAGAATTTTTGAATGAAAATCCGTCAATATATAAGATATTTTAGAAAACATCGGTTTATAACATGTTTCGGCTTATAAAAATATTGTTGAATTTGACACATTGTCGAAAATCGTTTTTCAAATTGTCATATATTTAGCAAGAGCATGAATGATGTCCACTAACCACCAAACTGTACACCCTTATCCAGCTCCAAGTTCAATGGATACCACGTTCTATGAAGGATAACTCTCGCCTACCTTTTAAGTATGCTTGATGCGAATTTTGGCACAGCTGTCTAAATATCAAAATTTAATAAGTACTTAATATTCTATTAAATGTTATGCTTTAATAAGTACTTAATATTCTATTAAATTACGTACCTCCACGAAATCGCTAAAAAAAGAGCATAGCTTGATGAAAAAGACGCCAACCTTGCCGAAAACTAAATTTTATTGTCTAAATGCTTATGTTATTATTAAGAGGAAAGACCAAAGTTTTTTTTTAATTATTTTTAAAAAATTTTCCTTTTAGAACATTCTAAATTTTGATTAAAAAAAAACTTTTTCTATTTGTATCAGCGGAACTAGTAAATAACATAGACAATTTTAGCACGTTTTTTTGGTATGACACACATTAATTTGAAAAAATCGTGCAAAAATAGAAATGATTATCGGATGTTAATGAAACTTTCAGAAACTATTCACAGATGATCGAAATTATTATAAATATGTTTTTTTATGAAAGTCATGGTAGAAATATTTTTTTAAAATATTTATTACCCCCCATAACTAATTTTATGAAAACGCTAGAAATTCATCGCATCGGTTTTAGTGATTACAATAATTAAAAGCACAGGGCTTTGAGGAATGCAAATCATGTTTTTTTTGTTTTTAATTGGACACGCAGTACCTTAAAATCAGCTCTGAATTGTAACATACAAAACTCAATAAAACAAATATAATATTTAATTTCAAATGCTTTTATTTGCTTTTAGTTGTTTTTATGAATATGGACAATATTTTCTGAAAGCAAAAAAATTTTCGATGAAAAATGAATTTTTAATACAATTATTTGTTATTTCATTAATTATAATAGATTTTACATTTAAGTTGTTAAAATATTATAAAATTAGTTAAAAGCCGCATCGGCTTTTATAAGTGTCCTTATGAGATAGATCTCTTTTTAGCGCGTTGTAAATTGTATCATTTTGACTAATCAGAAGATACCCAATAATTAAGAAATGTTATTTTGTGCTTATAATCGAGCTGTAATTATAAAATACGGAAGACCAACCAGAATATAATTAAGTTGCGTTATTTGAGTTAAGCATTGTTCTCCGCTGTTAAGGCCTTTACTTTTGCGAAACACGTGTGGAGAAGTTAATTTGATTTTTAAATTTCAACTGAGAAGGGTACCTACAAGTATCAGTATCATCTTATGAAATTTATATGATCTTATTTTTATATTAATCTCAGTTACGACATTTTTCCATAAATGAAATATCAAAATTAATAATAAAATGAATGCAAATACAAATAACAGTAGAATGTAATAAATGTACATAAAATTATAGTATTTTATGTACAATTTTGATAAAATTTCATAAGAAAGGTACCTATAAATTAATTAGATACCTTTCTTAAGAAATATGAAATTTAATGTCACTCTTAACAGTTTTATTTTAATTTCTTTACAATATATTTCCCATAAAGCATCATAAACATAAAGGTGAAAGCTAAGTACAAAAAAAAAAAAAAAACTAGACCGCTGAAAGTTTTCGTTAAAAATAACGGAGTAAATAATTTGTTCACGTAAATGTAAATTATTTCACTTTTTCTCCTTCCGTAGAACAAATTAGCCTCATGGAATTCGTAAATATATCATTCATCACATGTCAAGAGACGCGAAAGTTTATGACCTGCTTTGTTTTATTTTTGGCACAAAATCTAAGTTAAGTTTGGTTCAAAATTTTTAAATAAACATTACATCTTTTTTTGAAAAATGATAATTGATATTTAAAATCTAAAGTTAAGTTTTTTTCAAAATATTTTTTGCATGAAAAAAACTAGATTTTAATTTAATAAAAATGGAAAAATATTAAAAAAATATTCTATTAAATAATTTTGACTTTAATAAGTTTGGCTTAATATTCTATTAAATGTTATGCTTTAAATAAATACTTAATATTCTATTAAATGTTATGCTTTAATAAGTACTTAATATTCTATTAAATGTTAATATGCTTTAATAAGTACTTAATATTCTATTAAATGTTATGCTTTAATAAGTACTTAATATTCTATTAAATGTTATGCTTTAATAAGTACTTAATATTCTATTAAATGTTATGCTTTAATAAGTACTTAATATTCTATTAAATTTTGCTTAATGCTTAATATTCTATTAAATTTTATGCTTTAATAAGTACTTAATATTCTATTAAATTTTATGCTTTAAATCTGTAAGCTGTTCATAATTAGTGAGTTACAAATTTCGAACCTCACTGGGTGCCCCATAACTTCAGTCTTGTGCCACATCTAAGCTACGCTTAGCAAAAAAGTGTGTAAATCAGTGTCCTGTGGAGTTTGTGACACATTATTTATCATCTCCCAGTTGCGTCTATGTCTTTGGGCAGTATGCACTCAAGGACAACTCCGTCAAAGGAGAGAGTCGCAACTGAGTCAAATTATGCTGAGAGGGGCCCAGACGGTTGAGGGGGCTGCCGACAATTTTTGTTCCTTGCTCGGGTGCCCACCTTAAAAAAGACTTTGTGTCAAAACTTGTCTTAGTGTTTATTTATTTTGTAAATAATACAAAATTGTGGCACAAGGCCGAAGGGGGCGTAAGGGATAGGTTGGTCTTTCATTAGCTATCCTATTCCTAGTTAACCACAATCGCGACCCATTCATTCATTACAATTACACATTCACCACAAAAACTCATCCATCCTCTATCACCTCAGCACACACACACCACAATACCTTATATACAGAGGGGACCTACCAAACACCCCATGAGTTAAAAATTTTAATGTTCATATACACACACACACACACATATATATATATATATATATATATATATATATATATATATATATATTCAATGAAACACAAAATGATGGGGAAGGGGTTATGAAACCCAATAATAAAATCAAAATATCAACCGAAAACAAAGCAAAACCCAAATAATGTCAGTAGGACCTCCCCCCCCTCAAACATCATGAGAGTGGCCGCTGTATTCTGTCAATAGACAAACTCAAGAAGCATACTCAAAAACTTGTCTTAGTGGGGAGACAGACCTAGTGAGTGGTATTTACTTAACTCCCACGGGGTCAAGATGTGACACAAAGTCGTTTAACGTGGGAGACCCCAGTGTTTCCACTCAAGGGCCACTGGTTCAAAACTGGTCAGAGCCTAGTCAAAGCTGGTCATGACTTGTCCTCGCAAGTCCCGGCCGGAGCCAGTCCAAGCTAGTCGAAGCCTTGATCGAATCTCAGCCATAGGCCAAGAAACGATCCAATATTTGTCAAAAACCCCAACGAAAATTCATCGGTCAAGTTGACAGACCTAGTGAGTTATAAATTTGTTACAGGATTGTTTTATTTCTCTATTTTTTAATTTTTTTTTCAGCAAGCAGAACCTGCATTGGTCCGTCGAAATCGAACGGTTGATTTTAATAAGGGGGTGGAAGAGCAGAAAATTAGTGGATTGTATTGAAATAAAAGTAAACTCGAAGAAAAAAAATCTCAATGATTTTCAGATTTTCTAACGGATTTATGAAATCTAAAGTTTCACAAGTTATAAAGCTTCGATATTTTTAATGGCATCTCTTAGATTTAAAAGTATGACTTGAAATTGAGATTTTACTTAGCTTTTTAAAAATATAATTAGTGTTCAGTGGAAATATAACGATGTAATCTTTCTTGTTCTAAAATGAGCTAAAGGAACTTTTTTAATTACTAGTTGAAACCTATGTTATGCTTAATGACCTTTTAGATAAGGACATTAAACAAATGTTTAATATTGATAACGAAATTTAATTTTATCTTTTCAGGGGACGGATAGGTTTGAAAAATATCTATGTTGGTCAGAAATGTAGTTTGAAATTTGGGCTGAATGGAACATCTTTATCTGCCAATAAAAACGGAGTTTACTCCCTTGAAACTTTGACAATTGGAGCCGAAGGTGAAGTTACAGTCACTGATGAACTTAAAAATGACCAAAGCAGGTTAAACCTTGAGGTTAGTAACTTTCTTTTATAATATTATTTACATTATTCAGACTATTGTCCTCATCTTTGTCGCCATATTTATTACAACGTTTCGGCCGTTGTACGCTCCGGCCTTCTTCAGGTGGTTGGAATGTCGAACTGAACCCTTTATTTCAGTCACTAGGGTAGTCTGATCTAGTTCCACGTGCCATGTTTAATGGATGTCAGTTTTCTCCTGTTAATTTTCCCTCTGAAAATTCTCCACTGCCTTAACCGGGTATTGAACTCTCACACTTTGGATACTGTCACTGGATCTAACGAACGCCTTTATCCACTGTGCCATGTGTCCAAGTTTTTTTTTATAATATATATTAATTTACAGTAAGTGAGTTCACATTTTTTAGTCGACATTCCTTTTTGTTTTCGTTTGTTTTATACAGTGAAATTAATGTCAACCAGCAAGAGATTGATTTTCTTACGAAAGAAATGCGCCTCACCCGCCAGCGAGAATCGAACCTCTATTCTTTTTAGTTTTTAATGAGAAATCACTATCAAGCTTCATGTATTTTGCCATTGTTTTATTTTTAGCAAAACTTTCGCTCTCTATGTTGGTTGACATTAACTTCACTGTTAAAAATAGAGATATATACGCAAACACCTGTACCTACAAAATATAACGTTTACCATAATAATGTCTGATTAAGAATCCTTTAATTGGGTAAAATGTTACCTATGTATGCAAATACACACGGACACACCGTCAGGTTATCAATTGAAAAAAATTTTAGAGAGGTGGACGACGACGACACACGATTAGAAAAAGAAAACCTAGTTGTAAGAATGCAATTGATCATCTCGATGATTCCTCTTTAAGAAGAGATAACAAAAGGACAGAAATGCAGCGGTATATTTTGGTAAAGTCTTATTTATATAAAGAAAATGTATCAAACAAATTCCGTGACTATTACAAAATAACCAGTACATCTTAATGTGCACAATTTTATATATTATTCGAAATTCTAGTTTTTGTTTTATGTACTCATATTCTGTGCCGTCTTATACAAGATGACGAGGAAATACCTCCCATGTAAGTCATTAGCTAAATTAAACTTATAGGTATCTTCATGAGATCGCTAAAAACAGAGCATAGCATGATGAAAAAGACGCCAAACTTGACGAAAACAAAATTTTAGCGTCTAAATGTTTGTTATTAGTGAGAGGAAACATCAAAGTATTTTTTAATTATTTTTAAAAAATTTTCCTTTTTTTTTTTTTTTTTTTTTTTTTAAAGAATATTCTAAATTTTGATTAAAAAAAAAACCCAAAAAAAACCTTGTTTCTCTTTGTGTCACCGGAACTAGTAAAATAACATAAAATTTTAGTGCATTTTTTCCTGTATGACAGACATTAATTTTGAAAATCTTGCAAAAATAATTGTCGGATTTTAATGAGACTTTTAGAAACTATTCACAAATAATGGAACTTATGTTTTCTTTTTTAAAGTCATGGCAATTTTTTTTATATGTATTACCCCCCTCCAATAACTAATTGTACGAAAACTCTATAATTTCAATTTTGGGAAGATTAGTGATTATATTAGTGAAAAGCACAAGGCTTTGAGGAAACCAAACCATTTTTTTTTTTTTTTTTAGTTGGACCACCTCTACCTGAAAATCATCTCTGAATTGTAACATACAAAACTCAATAAAACAAAAATATTATTTAATTTCAAAAGCTTTTAATTGCTTTTATTTATTTCAATGAACATGGACAATATTGTCTGAAAGTAAAAACATATATCGATGAAAAATGAATTTTTAAAACAATTATTTATTATTTCATAAATATTTTACTATTTTTACATTAAATGTTGTTAATTCTTCTAAAATTTGTAAAATTTAACGAATGTTATTAAGTAGATATATATTTACAGATTATAATTTCCGAAGCTTTTTAAAAACTAACAAACATATAAAAAATATTTGTCAATAATAACACTATAAATCAAATATACGGAAGACCGGAAGTATCATGCGTGCAATAAAAAAAAATGTCACGTGGATTGAGTTTCTGTCTAGTATCTAACTTAAATATTGAATTTTTATTACAATTATTTATTTCTTTAATTATAATAGATTTTACATTTAAGTTGAAATATTATAAACGGCCGAAGTGTTGATAACAACAAATATTGGGGCCATTTAGTCCAAATGTAAACAACAATATTTAAACATAAATAAACAACCAAATATAAACAATATATCATTTCAGTTATCCAACCATAATATCTAAGAACTAAATAATATCTAATAACTAAAACTAGAGATGACAGTTAACTAGATAAGCAATGCAAGTCAGATTGTTCAGAGGATAATGTATTTTTTCTCTAGAACTTGAACATTGAATAAATGTTGAGCTTTCAAATCGAAAATGATGAAAAAGCTTATAGAATTAAACGTGATTTGAAGATTATCCCTCCATTCTTTCACTCAAAATCACAATAGAAATGATCGTAGTACGTTATGGAGTAATGATTTTTTTTTCTGTTTATGCTACTTCGTGTAAAATTCATGCGCAATCTAGGATTGTTCAAAGCGACAGTTATACTTCGGGAGTCAATGAGAAGCGCATAGTTGAGCCATTCCTTGTTCAAATTGCAAATGCATAATGACATTTCCATTTTTATGGCCGGTCCAAGTTTCAAGACGTTAAGTTTTGTGTCTGCATTGAAACTAAAGAAATTGCCTCGCATATTACGCTTGTAAACGATGTTGAAGTGTGCGTTAAAAAAAAAAAAATGAAAAAAAATGAAAGATTAAGTCTAACTGGACCTTCCGACATAGCGCATTGGCTTCATCCCACTTCCATTTTTTTCTTGTTGATAAACCAAATAAAATGAGCGTTTGCATGAAACTATAAATTATGGGAAAACAGCAATGTTTGAGTACCATTTTTTTTTCTTGTATTAGCTCTCTTTATAAACTCGTTTATATTTTACCTGGAGCATTGTTCTATTGTCTGCGTGTGTGACTTTCTGCCTCTGTGTGTGTGTGTGTCTGTGACTCTCTGCCTCTGTGTATCTCTGCCTCTGTGTGTGTGTGTGTGTGTGTGTGTGTGTGTATATCTCTGCCTCTCTGTGTGTGTGTGTATCTCTGTGTGTGTGTTTTTTTTTAAGCATTACGCCCCGAGCAAGGCGTGAAGCCACTAGGATGCAGGGGGTTGCAGAAGATTTGGAGCAATAGCAGATAGGAGTGATAGAAGAAAGGATGAGGAGAGGGATAGTGGATAGATCAAGGTAACTGGAGATGTCGACTGTCGCAGCAGAAACAGATACGGCAGAACAGGCAACATATTTTCAATCTGCAGAGTGGCCCGAAAGCCTTGTCAGCCTCTATATACCGTAAGTTTCTATTCCTTTTTTAGTAGAGTGTGACAATACTTACGGACCGCTCCATATATAACGTAGCATACTAAAATCAAATGAGAGACGACCTCACTCTGTGTTACCTCTACGACCCGGTGATATGACATCTTCAGGGAAGTATGTGAATCGACATCTGGATTCAAGAGGCATATGGTGGTATGGTTGAGCTACCACAGCAACATACGCTTAACCCTGTGAAGACTCTGGAACCCATCTCTCATCTATGCTATAGGCCTTGCAAATCAGTTGCTGGTTTGAAGAGCCACCTTCAAAGATCTAGATTGAATGTAGGTGTTGATGGGCGAAACGGCAGTCATCTGTGAAAATGGGGGCAATCAACATACTATAAAGTACATTAGATAGATTTACATGTAAATTAAAGTACAAGTCAAGTTTTGATTACCTTTTAGGTAGGGGGTGACAAGACTTCCGGACCACTCTGTACTATTAAGAAATTTTTATCTTAAGCAAATTTTACCCTTAGTTTCTTCTCTGACCAGAATATCCGTCCGCATGAACCTCTGATGTAATCGCTCATTCGTTTCAGAGTTTAAGGTGCCTTATGCTCTGAGATTGTGCTTTTCTCTGTAATTCCGTTTTAAATAGCTTTTATTTGAACTATTGTTTCCGTTCTATAAACTTGGCTCCTCTCTTACAACCTCTTTCATCAGCAAGGGATTTCCGCCCACAAAATTCCTACTCGATGCAGTTTCTTTTTCTGGTCATTCTCTGAGAATTCAAAAGATGTTTGTGCGTGAAAATTCTAGATTATCATTAGTTTTATACGAACGTCTGGTGCCAACAACAATGTCGCATTCAAAGTCACACAGGTGTATCCCACATACAAATGCATGAAAGGAAATTAACATGTCACCATGGTGGTGTTTAAGTACGTATCCCAATATCCATTAAATTGCTGTCACGTCATTGACTGACTATAAATTTGCATGTGACATCACTTTCTCATGTGTAGTTTAGTGATCAGAGAGAGTATATGCATACCTGAAGATTGCATTAACCGCATGAAACTCAGTAGTGTTATAGACGTTGGATATCATACACAGACACACTATGTATATATATAATATATATATATATATATATATATATAATATATTATATATATATATATATATAATAAGCAAATGCTCTGTTTATCATAAACATTTGCTTATACTATATCTATAAAATAACAACGTAAATATATAAAATATAAATATATATATATATATATATATATATATATATATATATATATATATATATATTATATATATATATATATATATATATATTTTATTCGAAAATTATAACGTGTTTTAAAATCACTACAAAAATAGGAGTTTTGTTTCAACACTTCTGGTGTGTTGATAAGACACCAGATGTGTTGAAACAAAACGGCTATTTTTTTGTTGTAATTTTATAACTTGCTTATTATAATTTTCGAATACATTGTGTGTGTGTCATTCACAAAATGCTCGAGCAGTGTACTTCTCGAAGAATTTTTTTTTTCTTAGGGCAAGCCGTCTCTGTAGTTAGAGTCCTTGAGATACAGCATTAAGACATATTTGCTCACTTATCTAACTAATTTGTAATCTGAGCTTCGCGGGTGTGCCGGTGGTGTAAAT